AGTACGTGGTAGTAGTAGTAGTAGTAGTAGTAGTAGTAGCAGTAGTAGTAGTCGTCGTCGTAGTAGTAGTAGTACAGGGAGGCGCAGGGCGAGGAGGAGGGAGCGGTGGAACTAGCAGCAGCAGCAACAGCAGCGTCTGAGTAGCAGTCGTGGTGGTGGTGGTGGTGGTGGTGGTGGTGGTGGTGCTGCTGCTGCTGCTGCTGCTGCCGGTGGTGGTGGTGGTGGTGGTGGTGCTGCTGCTGCTGCTGTGGCGGTGGCGGTGACGGTGGCGGTGGCGGCGGTGGCGGTGGCGGTGGCGGTGGCGGTGGCAGTGGCGTTGGTGGTGGTGGTGGCGGTGGTGGCGGTGGTGGTGGTAGTAATGGTAGTGGTGGTGGTCGCAGTAGGTGTTGTCGTCGTCGTCGTGGTAATAGTAGCTTCCGTCGTAGCGGTGCTGGTGGTGGCGGAAGTTGAAGTAGCCGGCGTAGTAAAGTTGTCTTCGCACCAGTGGTGGCATCAGCAGTAGTCGAATCGTAAAGATGTACAGGGCATGACAACAATAAGAGCCAGCGAAACAGGGCCTTCTTGGCGATGTTCTCGGAGCCCCATGCGTAGTTGCCGGCGTCCAGGCGCAGAGCGCGGTACTTCCTAGGCATTACCCGCCGGAGTCTGTACATTACCATGACTTCCACGACCTCACTACCATCATCACCATCATCATAACCATCATCATCATCATCATCATCATAAGCAAAACCAGTGCTATCACCAGCACCAGCAGATAAATGAGCCAGCTTCGCCAATGTCCGCGGCATCATCACCATCTGGCTTCTGATTTTTTTCGTTCGCTGTGCTGCTGTGCGTTCGTTCTTGCTGTGCCTTCGCTCGGTGCTTCATTTTCGTCTTTGTGGTGCGCATGCGCTTTTGGTTCTAGTTAGGGCACGTTTCGCGAACGTGCACCCAAAATCTGCCAGGGGCCGTGCCTGTGACCATGAAACTGCATAGTCCTACTGCTGGGCGAATGCACAACAAAATCACATAGGTTCCATTGCCAACTCCATTCCCATCAATACCAATGGCGGCTAGCATACACATGAAGTGGCCCAAAGGCCCCCCCCCCCCCCGGCGTCTTCTCCAGTGCGATGTGTAGCTTGCCGTCTCAAAGGAGACATACACTAGAAAGAAATGAAGCGGAAAGCAACCTAGGTTTTAGGGGGCTTAGGGGGCCTAGGGGTTTGTGTTCAGAGTTCTGATACTTGAGCTCTCAGCCGGCCCACGAGGCCCCAAAACAAAGACGTTCGGAACCCCCAACCCCGAAACTGGGCACTTAGCCTTCCTCCCTCATATAACTCTCACCCCAAACCTTCATTCATCCAAAATCCGAAACCTCGAAAACCCTGAAGCCTGAAACTACCCGAAACCCCTGAATGTCTACCTTAACGTCATCATCTTTCAAAGGTGCTTGTTGCCGCCGCGGCAGCGGACGACTCGCACCTTAAGCGGCTTAGGGTGCAAGGCTGCAGGTTCCATGGGGTCGCTTTACGATGAGGGCTTTGTTACAGTTGGGTTCGACTCTATGAGCCCTAATATATTGGGGTTCTAGGGCAAGGGTTTCTTAATCAGGGTTCTACATTATGAGGGATCTGAGGGTTTTAGAGTTTGGGGTTTAGGGTTGGGGCAGGCAACACCGTCAAGGTGAAAAAACCCAAAACCCCGAAGACCCTCATCGAGCCCTTACAGATCCCTGATAACACCCTCCACTCCACGATGCAACCCTCCTCGATCCCTCTCAGATGCCTCATAATGTAGAACCCTGATTAAGAAACCCTTGCCCTAGAACCCCAATATATTAGGGCCCATATTAAGAATCCTAATAAAGGTGCAGGGTTTCTTAATCAGGTTCCTATACCCGATACCCTAAACCCTGAACCCTAAACCCTAATCCCTAAACCCAAAACCCTAAACCCCTAGAATTCACAGAATCCCTCAGATCTGCCGGGAGACGCGCTTCGGGCCCAGCTTGCACGGCGTGGCCGGGCGACCCATCTCATACTTGCGCTTCTTGATGGAGACCTGTTTGGGCTTAGGGTTTAGGGGTTTAGGGGTGCAGCGGTGTAGGCTTCAAGGTTCAGGGTTTACGATTTAGGGTTTAGGGTTTGGGGTTTAGGTGTAGGGTTTAGGGTTTTGGGCCCCAAAAGATTGCTTCTGGAATGAGGTTGACAAGGCTTTTCAGGATAGTCTTCCCATCGGACTCTGAAGCAAAGCTTTTCACAACGGCCGGATGCCCCGAAGGGCCAGTGCTGATTATTGGGGGGGGCCTGCATAACTTACAGCATTAAATCCTGAACTGCCTAAACCCCAAATACTCTCAACACCGCGGCACATTGCTACGGCCGCCGGTCTTGTAATGCTTGTGCCGCGAGTCACGGGAGATTCCCATGGCGGAGCTCCTGCGAGAGACTCAGGGCAGAAGGGTTTCGGTTTAGGGTTTAGGGTTTAGGGTTTAGGGTTTAGGGCTTGAGGTCTATCGACGGCTGTTGAGGGGTTGAAGGTTTGGGCACTCTTCTTTGGTGGGGGGTTTGGGTTCAAAGGATTTGAGAGATTGTAGCCTCACCTTTGGAAAGACTTGGTCCTACAGCTCTCATCCTCGTGCTCCAGAATGAAAGCATACCCTATCATCCGAGAAGCCTACAGGCAAGAATTGCCCAGCATTCTCCTAGTCAGGTCGGAAAAGAAGAAACCTGGCTCTATGACCACTCGAAACAAAGGCTAAAAGCCCAGAACAGCAGGTTTCCACAAGGTCCAGGTAGGTAGTTAAATCTTGCCCTATGGCTCGAAATCGCCCAATATAGCACGGTCCCCTAAACCCTAAACCCTATCTATGGGCGCAAAACAGTGAAGGATGATTCCCTAGAGCCTTTGGGCTTAGAGCACTCAACGTGAAACCTCTTGGATGCAGCCCCGAATCAGGAATAAGGCTTTGAGGACCGGGTGGGAAGATATGTCAGTGACCTTCCTCCCAGACTCCGCCCCCAAACGGGAAACCCAAACCCTGAATGCAGAATCGTACGTCGCTCTTTCTGGGAGTCATTCCGGTTGTGCTTATACTGGGTTTCAGTCACAACACAAGGGGAACCATGCCACTGAGCACAAAAAAACCTTCTGTTTGACGACGGCTCTTGGGAAGTCGTTCAGAACACCACCGCCCCCCGTCCTTGAGTTTCACTCGCTGCAGGTGTTCCAAAGCTTCCGTGGCCACTGCTTTGAACCGGAACGGCCCCCGGTGCGGCGGCGTGGCACTCAAGAGTCTACGAGACCCTAAACCCTAAACCCTAAACCCTAAACCCTATGCGCCGACTCTTACAACGACTCCCGGGTTCTAGAAGGCCCTTCTTCTATTCAAAGTCTATAAGACTTCGGAAGAATCTCCAGATCAACCGGCGGGGCTAGGATGCTCAGATTCGCGTCTGCAAGGCGTCTAGGTCCAAGTCTAGGTTTCCGTGCGATGTAGGGTTTAGAGCCTCTTGTGTTTGGGATGTAGAATATACATCTTAATAATCTACCATGTACTTTAGGAGCCAACGTGGTATTCAAACTTCAAACCAGGAGCCCGCAAATGCGGCCGTTTTCATGCGAGTTTTGCAATGCAAGGGCGCACGTTGCTTCACCGAAAAGCCCTGACCCAAGACTGTCTGGTGCTTAGTAGGGAATGGGGGAATGGGTTTTTGGGACTACTATAAGGGACCGTAAGGGACGATCATAGGGATCCATTCCCCCATTCCCTACTAGGCACCAGACAGAAGAAGCCTACAAAGGACGATCATGGGACTTAGTAAGTAAGGTTATAAGTCCCTTAATGGGGTTATAAGTTTTGTTACCCTAATTAAAGCCCTACTTACTAAGTCCCATGATCCTTTAAGTGGGCCTCGAGATTTCGAGAGGTGACAGGCGAAAGCCCTGAGCCCGACAGTGGCAGGAAGCGCTCCGGCGTGGGCCCCGTTGCCGACTTCCCCGGCTCTTTGTCGCCTGAAGCGGCCCCAGTGCTCTGAGTGCTCTTTGTGTCGCTGTCTCGTCAAGGCTTTTCGGGCTCCTCGCGCCTTGGAATCTAAGGCCTTTGCGCACTTAGAGATTCCGATCTCGTGGGTTTCGGCTTCAGTGCTTTCAAGGGTCGGAATCCAGAACCCAAAGACTCCTCGACCCCTTAAATCCTCAATCCCCCAACCCTCTCCCGCTATTTGCCGGTCCCTCGCTGGGAACTAAACCCTAAACAGAAGCTACTAAAGGCATCTGAATGATTAGTAATCCATCATCTTCCCTTATCTTGCTCTGCTTGTAACGCCCCGCCCCCTTCCCATGCCGCCGAAGGAGCGGGGCTCTTCGACAGGGGCCGGCATGGCTGGCGGGATGCTAACGCTCTCGGACATTACAGTTGTGTTTGGGCTTAGGGTTTAGGCTTTAGGGTGATGGGGCTGTGGATTTGGAGTTGAGGATTTCAGGTGTACTTTAAGGGTTTTGAATAATTGGAATAGGGGCCTGGGTATAGTATGCTATGGTTCTAATAAGGAGCCGAACAGGAACGAATAAGTAAATTTTCAGGTCCCTACATTACAGGCTTGGACGTCGGGGGTTGTGGGGTTTCGGGTTCGGGACCTTGAGCATCGGCGACGGAATTGCGAAGCGTGAGCTTCTGAAAGTGTTCAGGGTTTAGGGTGTGGTCGTGAAGTTTATAGTCGAAAACAACATGGTTCAGCGACCTTGATAAGTAGAACAGAGTTTCGGGCTATAACATACTGTAGTTATACCCCTAGGCAATAGCATTTGTAACAAACCCGTTCTGAGACTATCCTCATACTTAAACCCATAAAATACACTCAGCATAAAGCTGCGATGCACCCCACTACGCAACCCCAATTGTAGAACCCTCAAGAACGATTCGGAATATCGAACTTGATCTTACACCTCGAGGGTTTCGAACTGCACTTAAGGGGGCGGTCTGGGGCCTGAGGTTGAGGGGTTAGGCTACCGGACCCGAGGGCGGCAAAACAACCAGAGACCCAACTTAGGGTTTAGGGTTTAGGGTTTAGGGTTTAGGGTTTAGGGTTTAGGGTTTAGGGTTTAGGGTTTAGGGAGGAGTACACCCGAAGCAAGCTTCATGTTTATCAAAGCGCAGTTGAGCGGATGGCTCCTCAAAGATACAAACTGAAGTCTCACTTTGCACATGTCCATGACCAGTCACCTCAAACCCGAAACCCTAAACTTAAAGCTAGCAAGCGCGAGAGCTCTTTCCGTCGAGTGCGATCTGTGGCAGCGTGGCAACGGGAACAGGCAGGAGGTTCGGCCCATCCGGGTTTAGAGCTTCCGGAAAACAATAGACCCCCGATCACTGCAAGGTTCCGTAAATCCAAGATGTAACATCACGCTTCCCGAAGGGGACTATATCGGCTTTTCACGGTTTTCACACCTTTTTCCGACTGCCTAGAGTCCCAAAGCGACTTTCGCTAGGTGTTATGCGATTGGCATACATGTAGGCAGCGATCATTTGCGTCATCACCCTCCATCCTATAACACTCAGAACCCCTAAACCCTAAACTCTAAACCCTATCTCCACCCGGCCGGAACTCTCCCCTCTGACCCGCTCCGGGCTTTGG